AAAAAAAACAACAACACAGTTCCCATCACATTATTCTACAGCAGAGGTGGGAAACATTTAATTTTTCCAAAGGTCCATATCAAGACGTTTAAAGCAAGGGCCGCATAAAGAATCAGAATTGATTTTCCTTTATGATAGATAACCTAGAATACATTTTTTTTATACTTGTACTTGTTGTAGCATAGTTAGTGTGCTTTATAAAATCACCTTTCCAATATATTTTAGGAATATAAGACGTGGTTGAGTGGTTAGAGCAGTCGTCCTCCAATGCGAGAGTTGGGGGTTCGAATCCACCAGCAGTCACATGCCGAAGTGTCCCTGGGCAAGACACTGAACCCCTCATTGCCTCTGATGGGTGTCCCATCAGTGTATGAATGTGATAAAGCTCTGATTAGTCTCTTTAGAATGATTTGTTCAATTAGCTTTGTAGAGATCTACTAGAGTGCTGTGTGAATGGGTAAATGAGGCACAGCTTGTTGTGTAAAGCGCTTTGAGTATCTCGATAAGATAGAAAGGTGCTATACAAGTACAGTCCATTTACCATTTACCATATTCTGTAAAATGGCTCTTGTGACAATATATTATAAATAATATTATACACGTTAGCTTAACATGTTATACATGTTAGCGGAAATATGCAAAACAAACTTATGTATTTGTGTTTTGAAGTCTTAATGGTTCAGTCTATTCTGAAAACACAGTGACTTTAAAAATATTTTTAAAAATGTTTTTTTAAGTTTTGCGTAAGATGTTTAATTTAAATCTCCTTAAGTCTTGTTGATAAATCACTGTTTTTGTTTTGTTTGTTTTGTTATTTTACCAATTTATTTTTTAAAAAATGTTGTTTTCTTTTGAACTAAGGACAATGGGGGCCTGATGGTGATTGTCCAAGGGCCACTTTTGGCCCTCGGGCCTTAAGTTGCCAGCGTCTGTTCTACAGAGTCTATTCACTACTTGGCCAGATGTTATTTCAAGTGGAAAGAAAAACAACAAACACTGATCAAGACCAACAAAGGCAGCTGTGTATCACACACACACACACACACACACAATTAGGAATAACAGGCATTTAGCAACAGTTCAGATGTTCCTGACAGTTGATGGTTGGTTTGGTGAAAAAAAATGTTTTAAGTGTGACTGACTAGTTCTGGTACATCACATAAATCTAAAATAGGGATGGGGTCAAGCATTAAAATTAAAAGAGAAAACATTGAACTTTAAAAAATAGTTATCTGATTAAATTACTATATCAGATTGTCTTTGTTTGTTTTCTTTGTAAAGTGTAAAAATCCAAGAAAGAACAAATAAAAATTGTATTCCTTAATGTGCTTATGATCTCTAATTCGTATAAATGCTAACCATATATTTTTAACTAAAGTTGCAAACTTCCAATATGAAGTATTAATTTATACCAAGGGACAAATAACTACTGAAAATGTCACAAATCCTTGGTAAGCAAATATACGAAAGTTAAATATGTTTGACCTTCTCTATATTGACTAATTCATGTAGACACATATAAATAAGTGAAAATCAGACGTGTTCAAAAGCCCAGAGTTTCCGAGCAACTTTGATTAGATAAGGAACTCAGTTTGACCCAAGCTTGGCTCTCTGTACTGCATAAAAACATTGGGCGCTGATTATTACAGCTGCTAAAATGTGATAATTGATTACAGGAGGTAAACAAAGTATCTGTTGCCAGGTGGGTTTGTTTTGTCCAAAAAATAGGCAGAAACTAAATAAGTCAAAGGAAAAAATGAGCATGATAGCACTTTGTTTTGATCAAATCTTAAATAAAAAGGAGTTAATATCACCCATATTAATTATGTTAGATTGAAAGTCTATTTTCATACGAGACTTTGTGGGTGGACAGACCTTATCGTGTGAACAGACAAGATGAATAGCACTAAATTTCAAACCAACGTAAACAGGAATAAATCAGTGTTTAGGTGTGCTGTTTTGAAACCATGAAATGCCCTACACTAAGCTCGAGCCGGTGGAGTCGCCCACTCATGATTGGCACAGGCTGGTGAAAGCTCATACAACGCCCTACATGACTTAAGCACTGTGGCACTCAGCTTACAACTGTCACAAATGCACGCCGTGTTATTATCTCAATAAGCCACCCTATTTTCCTTCCGTCCTCTATCCTCCACCGCCACCAAACAGATAAGAGACTGGGTGGAGATAACTAGAGACGGAGAGAGTGACCCAGAACTGTCAGACCCTTTCACAGTGGGCAGGGCCAGGCTCCCGGAGCGAGCATATGTCCCCAGTATCATCCCCAACCTCTTCTTTTACTTTGGCACCTTCATTTCTTCTAGTGATAGCTTCTAGTTCAGCACGCCATGCACTTGATCCAGCTCCGCTCCACATAACCAGGGTAATCCCCATATCACCAGGCTCCAAAAGAGCACATATGTTAAAAATTTCCTGGGTGGGTTTGATGTGTTCACGTTCATTAGATTTGCATGGAGAGATAAATGATCAAAAACAAACCCAGCCCTAGATAGGAGAAAAACAACTACCGTATTTTTTTGCAGAATAAGTCGCATCTTTTTGCATAAATGTTCAAGTCCTGCCCCTTATACACCAAAGTGACTAACATTCTTTTTTCTTCCCCCCTTATTTATAACCCAAGTTTTGGCTGAGATCTGATGATTTCATTCATTCTGACATGGAAAATATTGAACACTACCATTTTCAGCCACTAGAGGACCCTCGAGAAATATGGCAAGTCAAGTGTTTCATTAATAAGTAAAAGTGGTTATTGACACACTTGGCTTGCCATACCAAACCACCTTTGTCTCGCTCCTGAACTCCTGGAGCAAACATCAAATCATCTGCATTTTGCCGCACTGCCCAGGTGAAATGCAGCTGATTTGACTATTAAAGTGCATTTATTAAGGAAAAGTTCAACTGAGACACACCTTTACTATAATGCCAAGCAAACAAATAATTGTTTTTAGGTGGTTATGTTGTTAAATTTTAAAGAAATGCACAGCGAGTCCTCCCTCTGTGCGCTCTAGCAGCCGATTTTTTAAATGCAGCTGATTTGACCAATATAGTGCATAGGCCTGTCACAATAACAAATTTTGCTGGGCGATTAATGATCTCAGAAATTATTGCGATAAACGATAATATTGTATGAAATTTGACAATAATTAATTGTCAAAATTTAGAAGAATTAATTTTTTTGGTGTGTAGTACCTTTTTTGACCACCTGATGGCAGTATAAAACAGTTTGACCCAAAGGATGGATAGTTGAGCAGTGTGTCTCTTTAAGAAAAATGGGAGGGAGGGCCCTTGACGTGATATGGGCTGACATGGTGACATGGTGAACGCTCAATGATTTGAGCTCTTTAGCATAGCATTTTTCACACAAAGCTTTTAATTAAAAAAATTAGTAAATAAGTTATTCAGCTTCTTTATGCAGAGAAAAACAACTTTTTTACATGAAGGAACAAAGGCACGGGTTTTACCATGAATTGTAGAGCTTCGAAAAGACGGAGGTTTATTCCTGGGGTTGGCCTGTTAACTTATCTTGTAGCTTAGCTTCTCAGCTTAGCTGCTTTTAATGATCCAAAAAGGTGATTTTGGATGGTTAAAACAGATTTTAAAGAGAAAAGAGAAAGAGAGGGGTCAGTAAATACCACCGGAGTTGAGCCGTGTCGTCAGTAGAAATGATAAAGCTGGTAAAAGAAAATGAGGTCGATAATTTTCATTCATCATACGATTAATTGATTTATTGTTTATCATGACAGGCCTAATAGCGTATTTATTAAGGAAACGTTAAACTGAGACACACCTTTGTAATTGTTTGTAAGTGTTAATCTTGTTAAATTATTGTTAACATTCTCCCATGAACACTCCCATGGCCGCCATTTGGCAGCCAATCAATTTTTGGCACAACACCTGCCCACATACCCGGGCGGTCAGCGGTGACGCATAATAGATATGACTTGTACATGAGTCACTTCTTTGTTGAAATCAGGTCTCTTTATTAAATGAGTCTTCGAGGCTTAATGGGATTAACATGTCTAAATAAAGGTTGAATGAATGACTTATACGGCGAAGTGATTTATGTATGGGTTTTTTTCTTCATTTTATTAGACATATTTGGACTGATGTGACTTATACAGCGGTGTGACGTGTACGGCGGCAAGTACGGCAACGTTTTGTTTAGGTGAGCGCTCTTATACAGTACAGACTTACAATATTCAATGAACTTTTGTTTACTTTCACAGTTTAACAAAATATTAAAGCTTCTCAATGTTGATGACAAAAATGTATCAATAAATAAATACATATTATGCAAAAAGAATATGATCACAAAGTTCAAACAGCAAAACCATCATAAAAATCAATTAATAAAAACTTTAATACAACCCCATATCACTTCTGCACATCTAGCTTTGTATTTTTGTGTAAATGGCAACTTTACATGACAATTTTATATTCACCCAAACTAACCACAAGCTCAAAATCTGCCAACTTTAAAGGGAAAGGATTTCAAAAGACTGCATCTACTAAAAATGCTGCTAACGCTGTAGAACTGCAGCTGCCGTCATTGAAACTCAACAGCTGTGACGTCATAGTGCATGCCTGGTTCTAATGTCTGTGTGTTTCATGTTTAAAATGTTTTACTTAAAAAGGTATCTTTAAAAAGAACGTTAGTTTGTCTGAGCATTGCTTCTTATTGCTAACTTACTGGGGTGTACATGAGACTCTGGAGCTGAGGTGAGCAGGCTAATACAAGATAGTTAATGGGGATTCTATCTCTCACTTCCTCTGAGTAGATGAGGAATACATAATTCATAAATCCAAGGGAACAGCAACTTCTTGCTGGTAAATTCATCTACCTCCTTCCATCCCTCCTTTATCTTAAAACTTTGTTCAAGTTTTATTTCTGGGAAAAGTTCTGACACAGCATGGAATTAATCAGAGGCGCTCCGTTCAGAGGAGTCACAATCTTAATTTACAGTATTGGACTTGTCAGCTTTTGGAGTGTTAAATAAAAAGCAGACCCATTATTTTAGAATACCTTAACTCTTCATAAAATGATGCTTCGTCTGCCAAAGCACTGAGGCTAACGATCATTCAAAAAGTGTAAAGTCATAGTCGGCATGTACCTTTTCACGGATGCGTGCCACCTCAAAGAGAAATACAACTAATAATGCGTGTGAGCATAGGTACAGAGATGAATGATGCACCATTTATGTACCTGATAAAATATCACGTTTAAGTAGGCAGAAATGCAGAGAATTCAAAACTAAACTGTCTTTAAAAACATGAAAGTCTCAAGTTAAGGACAATAATAAAGTGTAAGTAAAGAACCAATGTAATCATAGAAGAGAAAATGCTAGCTGTGATCTTCACTTCAGTTAGAACAGTCGGTTACACTGACTAAAATAAGCTTTAGATTATAAACAGAGCTAAGATATGGAGAAGTCTAGTCAATAATCAATGTAAACTAAATCAAGAAGCACGCCACAAAATGCATCTGTCCTGAGAATACAGCAGGTGGCATGAGCTTTAGCTCCATCTGACTCTGAAGAGCAGATAGCAGCTAGAAAGGATGTTCTTAGAAATAGTATTGCCTATCACAGCTTTTCCTTTTCAATTCTGTTTTGAAGCCATTTGAGTTCTTAACTGTGTATTGAATTAAAACATCATTTCTTTAACAGGCACCAGTTCTTGCTAAACATTACACAGTTTATAATAGGAAAAGAAAGTTGTATTTGAATGCTTACATAAGTTTATGAAAATGTAAAATTAGCGTATTGTGCGACGGGTAATTGAATTTAGTAAGAAAAACAAAACTATAAAATACTGATAGCAACTCTGTCATCAGTAAATACAAGGCCAGACAATTTAAAAACAGAACTTACCTGATGTAATAGTCATTCCTGATAAGCAATAGGTGCTGAAGGATTGACAGAAAGTAGGTCTCTGAGGCTGTGTCTTTCACCATATTTGACAGAAGATGGTACACTTCATTCATATCAGTGAAGGAGCAATGTTAAGGAAAACATTTTTTTACAGTGTTCCATTTTTCCCCCCTTTAAATAAATCAGGTAAGTATCAGGGCTAACTTCTTCAGAAGACATCCAGTCTGACATTACTCAACTCCTGTAAACATCATCACTATTTTATTAGATTTTATTTTCATTGAAACTCTTTATTTTCTCCTGTTCTTTAACTCAGCTTTTCTGACAGGCATCACTGTGCAAAAGTCAACAGAAATATAATTCGTCTTATCCATTGTCTCTCTGGGGAGCTATGACAGTGTAAACAGCTAAGTTGAAAAGAGGGGGACTGGCGTTGAAGAGTGCTCCCACAGGTTCACCTGTCATACCAGACTTCTTTAGGAAATAAAAAGCTAATTACAAAGAAAAAGACACGAATGCTTAAAGGTTCGGGGCCAAAAATCATGAGGTTGTGACATTTGGAATGGTAAAATTAAAGCAGAGGTTATCACATAAAACTGGTAAAAAATGTAACACCAAAAAGGTATATTATTAAAACTGCAGACGTTATTGATGATGTGTCTTAGTTTGCTTAGTTCAAAAATAAAATAATGATGCATTTGACATTTTAAAAAGCGGTAAAATTAAAATTGGGTTTTTATCTCCTAATGTTTAGATCTAATATGTACATTTCTTGATTATGTTACACATTTCTAATTCTATGAAATAACGAACCTGAGATTATGATGCATCAAAGTTAGTTATGGAGTTCCTCAGGGTTCAGTGCTTGGACAAATAATCTTTACCTTATATATAATTCCATTATGTAAAGTTATTAAACAACATGGGATACATTTTCATTGTTATGATGATGATGCAACAGTTATATTTGTCCATGAAAAGAAAAGAAAACTGTTTGATAATGAAAATAAATACTCAAAAACAATGCAAGACCTATTGTACATATAGTACAAGCCAAGACGGATAAACTGTATAGTGAAATGCATTTCAAAATACAATGCTTATGCTAATATTGTTTGTAATTAGCATGAAAATCTATTTAGAAAATAATAAATGTGAGTTCTGCTGCAACCATTTCATTGTGTTTGAAAAAGCTAGCATTCAGAAACAAACAACAGAGAAAAAAGGATGATTTAGAGTGTGACAGGTTTGCCTGAGCTGGGGGAATTTTCCTATAAAAACTAATCTTGTCCAGAAAAGAAAATAAGCCTCTCACATATGCACCTTTGCAAAAACAAGTAGACTGAGGAGTGGGTCCTGCTTGCTTGCCAAGTGTTGCAATTTAACATAAACTGTTGTTCCTATGTAACCTGTGATGAGATGTTTACAGAGAACATGGAGGCACCATATATTGTGTTCTCCCTCTCTTCTGTTTATGATACAAGGAATATCTAAAATAAAATAAGAGAAAAGTAGCCAAAACGAATTTGTGATCTTAAGGCTCTTACAACTGAAAAAGACCAATGCCTTTAAATAGCAGCTAACTTTTCCTTTTAATTTCAACAAAGTCAGTAATTAAACTTCTATTCAATATTCTTGCAAGAAAAACCAATGGAAATCAAAGCTCCTCTAAAATATCTGTCCTCTCCCTTGCAATACCAGCATAAGAAGTTTGGGAGAATTACCAGTCCACTGAGATTCAATTATAGCCTCACCATGGCCCAATTTTCAGAAGGCATAAAAAGTAGCTTGGACTGGAAAGGAGCCAAACCAGCTTCATCTATCACTTAACAGCAGACAAAGCCTGATGTAAAACACCAATCTATTCAATCTCAGTCCTTTTTTCCCCACTTTTAGTCTTCTCTTTGCACTATCTCTCCAAATAATGAATAAACATGAATGGCAGTCAAGTGTGATGTAGGCCAGTCAGCAGTGGGGTCAATCAATCACCATTCCACAGTTCATTAATATTCATTAGGGGCCTGGAGTCATCTACTCAGCACCTGGACCTGGAGCCGGACACAGAGAAGACGAGTCTATTCAGGTTAATATTTATGAAACAGCCAGGAGAAACACAACACATGTGCAATGCTCAGGTGGTAGATTTACCTGTGAGACATTACCTATGTAGGTTGATGTGTGTGTGTGCATTTGTGTGCACACAATGCAGACAAAAGGACAGAGGGTAACCTAGGCATTCCAATCATGCCCATACTTCACAGATCAATACCACATTGTCCTTGGAAGCAAACATTAAGCCTTCTAATTTGTGAACCTGCTCGAGCACATCATTAATCCAGGTACACCTTTTCTCCCCTCTCTCTTGTCTCCAGACACACATACACCTCCTCCTACCCTCACTTACATGTGTCAACAGAAACTGTCACTCACTGTGACACTTTTGTGCTCTTACAAGAACTGTGGGATTTGGAGGAAGAAAAAGGTTGCAGGAATGAACATCTGCATAACAATGTCAGCGTCTGGTTCGTCTGCTCACGATGTCAGCTATTCAGACATGGCCTTAGAGAAGATTTGTGAATTATTAAAGAGTTCTTCTAGGATGCTTGAAAAAGTTTTTCCACTAAGGACTAAATTACTGCTATTCTTATTAACTTGTGTCCTGACTGTTGGGAGCAAAATTGTATTAAAATAAAAAAAAATAATTAAAAAAAAATCTACCTTTTTAAACTTGTCCACAAAAACAAAAGGTACAAATACTTAAAAATGCTCTACATAGCTCTAAACTAGCATAGAACAAAAAGTGAAGTAAAGAAAAGAAATAGACAGGTGGATAAAAAAATAAAAAAGCTGAGGAGGTCAGAGGTTAAGATGACAGGGTTATTTACCAACTATACCCGGCCAGGGATGGAGCTGGATATTGTGCGCTGACTCGTCTAATCCTTCTCTAATGAACAAAGCCATGAGGGGGATTTATGCTGTAAAGCTTGACCAAACTCACAATATGCACTCACTGTTAGTTGTGTAGGCCTGTATATCACACCTTTGTGTATTCACACAGACAAAGGACAAAAGGATATTCCATCTCAGCGCGGATGTCATCCAGGCGATGGGAGAGTTCGATAGCATCTTCCTCCTTGTTCTCGTTAAACACCCTCAGTTGGATGTCGAGCTCCTCTGTCTCTTTTATCTCCTGAAATTAGTCAAGACAAAAGTGGTGGATGTGTTACAAATTGTCACAACGCACTTTAAGTCCAGCATGATGCAGATTGTAGCAATTACTTATTTAATCGTTGCACTCCTAAATTTGGGCAAACTTTGTATTCTCGACTAGTGCTGGTGATGAAAACCTCTACAGGTTTTCAGCAGAACACAGAAAAAAAATAGACCTTGAACTTTCTCAAAAGGTATTTCAGACAAAACCAATTCCTGCACACCTGTTCCAACCACAAGGGGCTACAGGGGTGCTCCTCAACACTTCTCTATGAATCACCGGCAGGGAAGTTTACACACTGAGACAAGACCAAACGTAACCCAATTTCTGTAGGAATCAATCACCTTGCGCTGTTTTTTTAGGTGCACCATCTGTCTCCACCAGGCAACTTTGGTTTAGAGGGAGGTGCATAACAACACAGAAAGAAAGGAGAGGAGGAGGAAAGCCAAATAACTGCATCAAGGACTATTAGAACAAAACATGTGGCACTTTCTTTTTTCTATGGGCTTCGCCATTTCTTTGCCAACAGCTACACACGTACTCCAGAGCATAACTCATAATTAGATGGAGTGTCACGCAGAATGTGAGCAATAAAAGTGGTAAATGTGGGATTCATAAATGACTGTACATGGAGGCCCTTTCAAATCAGAGGGCAGAATTGAAGATAATTAAAGTAATGACCGTAAAAATCAACAGGAGCAGCTGGGATGACTTATTAACAACTGGCTCTGTGACACGTTCACCCCACTTGCGACAAATGAGAGTTTGAGTGATGAGCTGGAGCTCGCTTGCCTTGGGCTCATGCGAAGGTGTGCAAAGTGAGGTTGCTGATAATGATGCCTGTGTGCAGAGGTGCGAGCTACGCATCACATTTTCTACAAGCCTCTGCTACTACAAATCAAACTAACTGTGGCAGGTCTCTCTGTTGGGAATTTGCATCCCAATTATGTTTAGTATTAAAAAAAAAATCAATCAGTGGATTCTAAACTTAAATCATTTTATTTGAATGGCTACTTAAACAATTACTAATCATGTTTGAAATTTAAAATGCATAACAAAACATTCAAGACACTTACAACAAAAAAATATTTAAATGTTTTAGTGAAAAAAGGAAAAACAAACCTGAACTTAAATTACAGACACTAAAAAATGTTCAGTCAATTGAATCACTTGTTTTAATTTTAAAAACCAAGAACAAAAATCAAAACAATTTATACATATTAGGGTAAAAAATAAGCCAAGAAAACTTACAGGAAGGATCTTTTTTAGACCGCATCTTAAGAACTCATTGCGTAGATGTATCCGAAAGTCTAAGTCATCAGGCGACGTGACGAGGGCATTAATCAGCTGCATGCAGGCTACCTGTGGACAAAACAAACAAATATATATAAATGTATGGATACACAGACACATCCATCCATCCATCCAGGTTCAGGTTAAGTTTATTTGTCATATGCAAAATCAACAAGGTCAACAATGCAATGAAATGCTCAGGAAGAGAACAACCGTCTCGTCTCGCCAAAAATAAAAAATGAAGAAATACCAAAGTGTGCAACAAAAATATTAAAAACATACTAAAAATACTACTAAAATACTAAAAAAAATACTAAAAATACTACTAAAAAACTAAAAAATATACTAAAAATACTACTAAAATACCAAAAAACATACTAAAAACACTAATAAAATACTTAAAAACTAGAGGGTGAAACGTTTCTATAAAAAAGACACTGTCCAGATGACCTGACTGAGAA